TGAGTCAAACCTGGTTTTAGTTATATTGTACTGAGATGGCTTCAGAAAGTCATAACGTGTCCTTGGTATTTGCTTTAATAATGCTTGAGCTGGTGATATACCTGTGACTGTAGATGGGGTATTTCTATATGTGAACAAAAAATTGATAAGTTTATTTTGAATAGTGATCTTATTTATACCCTGATTATCTAAAGATAGTGCTTTCTTTAACCCTTTTTTACAGTTTGTACTTCTCTTTCAGCCATTCCGTTACTTTGTGGGTGGTACGGAGGTGATTTAATCGGTTTTAGACCATTTACTTGACAAAATGATATAAATTCGGATGATCCAAATGGGGGACCATTATCAGAGACACATTCTACTGGGAGCCCAAAAACACTAAAAATATCTTTTAATTTAAAAATGGTCTCTTTAGCATTTGAGCCATTCTCCATTAATTTAACTTCTAGCCATTTAGTTTTATCATCTACAACAATAAGATATGTAAACTTATTTTTATGGAAAAAAATCAATATATACTCTATGAAAATTATTATTAGCACTAGGCCATGACATTAGATTGCTACTACTACTGGTGAAGTTTTGTGTTTTCTGACATACCTCACATCGACTAATAAATTTTTCAATTTCCTCATTCATGCCAGGCCACCAACAATAAGATCTCATTAGCATTTTTGATCTTACAATACCTATATGTTGTTCATGGAATAATAAATACCATATAAATACAGAGAAGAAGTAAACAGAACGATTAAAAATATGTTAGAAGATGGAATCATTGAGAAGGCAGATACACGTTTCATAAATCCTATAGTGGTAGTACGTAAAAGATCAGGTGAAATTAGGCTATGTTTGGATGCAAGGAATATTAACAAGATCACTGAAAAGCAATTTGAAGCACCAATGAGTATAGACGGAATACTAGGAAGAATTACAGGAATGTCATTTTTCACTAAAATCGATTTACAGCATAGTTTCTGGTTAATACCTCTAGAAAGAAAAACTAGTCAGGATACAGGATTTCAGAGAGATGGAGTAGTATACAAATTCAAAGTAGTACCATTTGGACTTCAATCATCTTGCAGTGCTCTTTGTAGATGTCTTCATGATATTTTGGATCAATATGAGCAATTTGTAATTCACTACATTGATGATATATTAATTTTTTCTAAAACGGCTGAAGAACATGAGAAACACCTAAAAATAATGAAAATATATGACAAAGTTGGACTAAAAATAAATCAAGAGAAATGTACATTTTTTCAAAAAGAAGTAATATATGTAGGTTATAAACTTAATACTAAGGGAATTGAAATGGATCCAGAACGAACACAAGTTATTCAGGAATATAAAACACCACACAATCTAAGAACTTTAAGAGGATTTATTGGAATAATTATTTATTATAAAAGGATGATACCAGATCTAAGTATAAAAGAAATTCCATTACTTGAACTGTTGAGGAAAGGTGTAAAATGGAAATGGGATCAACGAAGAGAACTAGCATTCCAAGAAATCAAAAACATTTTTCTGTCAAATTTAAAAATATACCATCCTGACTACACAAAGCCATTCATATTAAGAACAGATGCCTCAATAGAGAGATTATCAGGGGTATTACTACAAATACATGATGGGGTCGAATACCCGATACAATTCATCTCAAGAATTACAAAGCCACATGAGAAAGGTTATTCAGTATCAGAACTAGAACTAGCAAGTATCATACAATGTGTCACAAAATTAATTTAATTAATAATTATAATTAATTTTATTTGTTGGGTAATGAATTTACTATAGAAACAGATCACCAAGCTTTAACATCTATATTAAATAACAAATATGGAAACAGTCGAGTACACCGTTGGAGCCTAATTCTGAGTTATACAGTTTTGAAATTAAATACATTTCTGGAAAATCCAACATAGTGGCAGATGCTTTGTCAAGGTAGAGGCAAGGTAGAGGTAGAGGCAGAGAGGCAGAGAATACATCACAAAGGGGGCAGTGAACAATAAAAATTGGATTAAATCAGTTAGTAGACAAGACTGGATTATATTCTAAAGAAGAAATCATAAGAGATCAGATGAATTTGAGTGAAAAACAAAAAGTTCTTAACAAGGATGGGGTGTACTATAAGATAGTTGATGGCTTGGAGGTATATGTAGTGAGTAGAACTTTGGCAAGGAAGATATTGAAAGATTTACATAAAAGTTACATGCATATTGGTTCAAGAAAACTATGGATGTTATTTAGAGATAACTATTTTGCAAAGAATGACATAAGTATAGCAAAAGAAATTACTACCCAATGCCAAATATGTCAAATAAACAAAGAAAAGAATTTCAAAAACCAGAACACATATAAATCCAATGTTGCATATGAAAAACTAAATACAGTTGCCATGGATTTCATCTCAAATTTAGTTCCCAGTCCAACAGGAAATAAGCATATACTATTGATAGTTGATTTATACACAAAATTTATTAAACTATATCCATGCTCAAGAACAAATGTTAAAACATTGAAATTATATATTAATCAGTTTTTCGAAGAAATAGGACCATTTAAAAATTGCATAATAGATAATGCTACATATTTGAACAACCAACAATTTCTGGCATTTTGTAAGAAAAAGGGGATTAACATTCATTTTACAAGTATCAGACATCCTCAAGCGAATCCTGCAGAAAGGTATATTAAAGAAGTTATAAAATATTTAAGGATACTATGCCAGGATCAGCATTTGAGATGGCAAGAACATATCGAACAAGTGGAATATTTTTAAATAATACACATAATTTAAATACAGAGGAAGTACCAGAATATTTAATGTTTGGACATATAGGAAAAAGAAAATGGATCAATGAAAATAACCAAGAAATGTTGGAACAAGTAATGCAAAGGGTAAACAGAAGAATTCAAAGGAAAGCTGAAAAATATATCAGAAGACAAAATCAAACAATTAAAAAACCAATCACATTTCAAAAAGAAGAAAAAGTTTTAATTCGTTCACTTAGACAAGGTAATTTGAGAGAAAACCGTTGTAAGAAATTACAACCAATGTTTGAAGGTCCATACAGAATCGAAAATCAGAATGGACAAAACAGTTATGTTTTAATAGATGCAGACAATAGAATTAGAGGGATATTTCATATTAATGACATTTTTAAGTATCATGAAGAGATTGAATAATGTTTTCTATACCTTTAACACTGATTACTGATAGATTTATTTCATTAGACAATCTTGATCTGTTGAGAAAGACAGATGTATCATTTAACATCAATTTTTTTTTGTATTTCTCTGAGCAGGTGTTGAATTTGTCCTTTATTTGGGTCCTAAAAATCATAATTTTAATTAGAGTTAGATATAAAAGAATTTATAATATAATTTATAATACAATTTTAATTGGGGTTATGTATGAAGATGAATTTTGTAAATATTATACATAACAATATAAAAACTGTAGAACTTACCATTTATATTAAAGAAAGTCTTTTGAACGAAAAGAAACAATTATTTACTAAATCTTGTCTATTAATAGACAAAAACATTATAGATGCTTAGATTATTTCTTTTGTAAACGTAAGATCTTTGACATTTGACATGAAACATAGGTTATATAGGCGCAGTATGAGGTAATTATAGATAGAAAATTAAATTATTTATTTATATTAATTAATATATTTACGAAGGTGTGGATAAGAAAATTAATATTTAAAAAAATAATAAACGAATTATTTATTTTAAAATTAATTTTGGGGTATTGGAATAAGAATAGATATACAAGAAATTAGCATAGTAATATTATGACGTTTAATTAATAAATTTATTTAAATAGTAATTGAAGACATAATTTATAAGTCATATACTAGCAAATATTATTAAAAAATAATTATATGGGGGTATTTTTAAAAATTTAACGTAGGATTAAGTGTTTAAAAGATTTTATTTTATTTTATTCTATAAATAAATGTATTTAAGTGAACCTTGTGTATAGGCAACCAAATATACACTGTCTATGACATGACGATGTCTATTTTGAACTAAATAAGTGACAGATGAAAAATGGGGTTAAATATTAGTTTTGAATTTTAATTTAAATATTATTACAGATGTAAATAGTGATAATATATTAATGTAAGATGTTTACTGTATATATAATAGTGTATTCCGATCTGCAGACCTAAATGTCCGTTAAATTGTCTATAGAAAGTAAGGAATTTTCTGTAAAACGTCAATATGACTATTTGCATAGTAGAGGATTCCAGAACTTTCATCTATGGATGAGATGAAAAGTTTAGAACAAGATTTCTTTCCCGTTAATTCTGGAACCTATGAAAAGATATATAAGCCATGTAATTTGAAGCAAGAGGGGATAATTAAGTCAGTTACAGGGGATTATTAAGTAAGTTACAGTTGATTCGGGAAGTTAGTTAGTTAGAAGAATTCAAGGCATTAAGTTACACGAAGTCATTAAGTTACAGTCAATTATTCAGTTACAGTCAATTATTATGTGAATTAGTTAGAAGAATTTAAGTATTAAGTTACATTAAGTCAGTCAGTCAGTTACAATTGATTAAGTGAGAAGAATTCATGAAGTGATTAAGTTAAATTAAGTTAGAAAAAAGGATTAAGTGAGAAGTCAGTCAGTCAGGTACAATTAAGTCATTAAATTAGATTGATTAAGAAAGTTAGTACAATACAGTTATAATTAAATTAAATAAGAAGAAAGGATTAGAATAAGAAGAAAGAAGTCATTAAGTCAGATACACTTGGAGAGTAAATTTGGAGAGTAAATTAGTTGTAATAAAGATAATTTAAAAAAGTACTTACAAACTAATTCTTTGAGAACCGGGAAAAAAAAGCCTATATTCAGATATTTTAATTTGTGATAATTTCTCTGTGACTACCTTTTTTAGCGCTGCTCTCTGTTTCACTTGTAACAAATATTTTTATCGTATGTAGAACTATAAATTTTGTAAATTTTTTTTTTATAGGTTCGCTGGATATATGTTAAAGATGTTCCAAACGTCCAGTTACGTCATATTCGTCTTGAGAATAATGACAACAAACCAGTAACAAACTCTAGAGACACTCAAGAAGTACCCCATTCAAAAGGAGTGCAAGTTCTCCGTATAATGCACTCCTATCGACACTCAACTTCTATCTTTGACGATTTTATACATTATGAAAAGCGACAGGAGGAAGAGGGCATACGAAAGCAACCCACTGCCAAGGAAAATTCAGGAGGTGGTAGTGGAGGAAGTACCAGTGGTAGTCACGAAGGCGGAGGACACATTAGGGAACATAGAGAAAGGGGAGACAATAGGGGAGGAAGGAATCACGATAGAGATAGGGACAGAGACGTTGGAGAGGGAGGGCATCGCTCTGGTGGTGGACATAGGAATAATGATCATCATGGTGGAAGTGGACATAAGGTGAGAACATTATTTTACGGTATTATTTATTAGCAATTTACATAATAAAATAGTTGTGTGGTGCTTGTTAATATGAAAAATGTATTCTAATGATTTAATTTTAGCTGCCATAATGACAATTCAGAAATATGCTCTAAATTTTAAAGTAGGGGACTTTAAAATGGCATTCTCAATATTTTTGAGGGCATCTTGAAGCGATATACATAATCTGTCAATTCCGTCTGTTTTTGGTCAAGTACTTATATCCGTGGTCGTCTACAATAAACTCAATTTCTGAGAGTTGTAACGGGAAATAAATTATTGAAAATATCTAGTGAATAATATAAGACATTCAGTGAATAATATAAGACATTAGGTGAAGGAGAGTGCTAAGAAAAAACTTTAAAATCGGTGAAATAACATCCGAAAACACCAAGGCCCTATAAAAAGTAAGATTGCTGTAATTGATAAGCCTAATTAACATCAAGGCATAGAAACGAAACTCTGACCTTTGAAATTGCGACGTTGCCGTTGTGAGTAGACTTTCGGGGTAGACACAGAAAAATAACAACGGTTAATAAACATAAAATAAATACGGTAAACGCTGTCTTCTCTGAACTGTTGAGGTGGAAGACAGTGTTTGGCGCCGGAAAATGGAAAAATATATAAAAAATTTAGACAGTGATGATACACTTTCAGAAGGAGGGGCAAAAAGGAAGGACAGATATAAAGACAGCGAGGAAGAAGATAACATTTTCAGAAAGAGCAAGAAGTTCTCGAGAACACCAACAAAAACAAAAAAAATGAGGCAACAAAAATTGATCAATTACTAATAATGATGAGCCACCTTACCGATGATATTAAAGAAATAAAAAGAAATCAAAAAGAATGCAAGGAAACGATAGAAAAGCTCATAATGGAAAACAGAGAGCTGAGAAAAGAAAATTTGGAACTAAAACAAGAAAATATAGAGATCAAGGAGGAACTCAGAGAAATAACAAAAAACATGGAAGTTATGGAAAAACACCGACGAATAAATAACATAGTTATGAACGGTCTAAGGATAGACACATATGAGCAAGCAGAGTTAAAAGGAACAATCAATAATTTCATCAAATAACATATAGAGGTAGAGGTTAAAATAAGGAATGCTCACAAGTTAGGCGAAAAAACATGCCTAATTGAATTAGAAAACCAAGAAGAAAAATGAAAAATAATGGAAAAAAGCACAAGTTAAAAGAATTTAAAGAGTACAAAATATATATCAACGAAGATGCAACCATAAAAGAACGAGAAATACAGAAAACAATTAGAAACATTGCTCAAGAAGAAAGAAATAAAGGAAATGAAGTAAAAATTGGAGTAAAAAAAATATGGGCGAATGGAGGTGGAATGACAAAGAAGGCGCAATGTGTAAAAAAACATTAAAAAACTAGCAACTAAATGTACTACTGGAATAACGTTGACAAAACAAGCACAGAACAAGGTTAACGAAAATACAAAAAAAGAAAAAAGAGTACAGAAATGAAAACTGAACCAAAACACAAGAAAACATTGCGAAAAGAGCACCTACTTTTAGGAACATGGAATGTAAGAGGCACATATGGGGAAGGCAAACTTAAACATTTAGCGAGAGAAATCGAAAAGTTCCATTTTGACATAGTAGCTTTACAGGAGACGAAACAGCTGGGAAATGATATATTTGAAATAGAGGATACAATGTTTTTTAACAGCGGTGGAAAGAATCGAACATTAGGCACAGGTTTTATGATAAGAAAAGAGCTAAAATAAGCAATAGTAGAGTTTGAACCAGTATCAGACCGCATATGTAGTATCAGGTTCAAGGGAAAATACCAAAAAATCACCCTCATAAATATTCACGCACCTTCAGAAGAAAAAGATAATGACGTTAAAGAATGTTTCTACAATGAATTAAACAACAATCGAAAATATACCCAGATATGATATGAAAATTATTCTAGGCGACGCAAATGCCAAAATAGGGAAGGAAGAAGTATTTAGACCGACAATAGGAAAATATAGTAAACACAATGAAACTAATGAGAACGGACAATTCCTGATAGATTTCGCAAGAGAAAAAAATATGATCATAATGAGCACATATTTCGAAAGAAAAGAAATACACAAGGAAACATGGATATCGCCAGATAGAAAGACTAAAAACCAAATAGACCACGTGCTCATCGAAAAAGAGGAACAGCAATGTATAAAGAAGATAAGAACATACAGAGGACCAGACGCTGACTCAGATCACTACATGGTGGGTATCAAAATTAAGCAACTGATACCAGAAAACAAAAACAAAATAAATAAAAAGAAATGTATACATAACCCAATTCGATTAGCAACAAAAAAAGAGCAAGAAATATACGAGGAAACAATGGAAAGAGAACTAAAAAAGATACAAATAGAAGAGCAAACTGAGAACAAATGGGAAAACATAAAGCAAATAATGAACAAAGCAGCAAAAGAATGTGATAAACAAGAGAATAAAAAGATGAAAGACTGGTTCGACATAGAGTGCCAAAAAGAAATAGAACTAAGAAAATCATTAAGGATGGAAATGATCACGAAAGAAACAATAGAGACAAAGAATAGATATAGGGAGCAAAGACAAAAAGTAAAGAGGGTGCTGAGAGAAAAGAAGAGAAAACACATAGAAAATAAGCTAAAAGAAATAGAAGAGAATTACAGAAATAAAAAAATAAAAAACCTGTATCAAGGTGCTCGAAATGAAAAAAAAGGTTTCCAACAAAAACCCATATTCGTTAAAAACAAAGCAGGAAATAATATAAGCGGGGAAGCAGAAATAGTCGAAAGATGGAAAGAGTATTTTGATGAATTACTAAATGGTAATAATAAGTCAAACCAAAGAGAATATATGCAAGCAGAAGCAAGAATTGAACACATAGACGACATAGAAGATAATTCACCCAGCAAAAAACAAATCGAGGAAATCATAAAAAATCTGAAAAACAACAAATCCCCTGGAAGTGATAACATAACAGCAGAGATGATGAAATATGGTGGAAAACTGCTAAATAATTGGATATGCAAGATCATAAAAGAGATATGGATAAAAGAACGAATACCAGAAGATTGGAAGGAAGCCATTATTTGTCCATTACACAAAAAAGGAGACAAAACAGAATGCAGTAATTACAGAGGAGTAGCGTTACTAAATACCATATATAAAATCCTATCAAAATCGATAAAAGATAAGCTGGAAAAAGAAGCTGAAAATATAATAGGCGAATACCAGTGTGGATTTAGACGAGGGAGAAGCACAACGGACCAAGTATTCATAATAAGAGAGTTACAAGCAGAAAGCTATGAACACAACTTACCAACGATAGCGCTATTCATCGACTTCCAGCAAGCATACGACAGAATAAAAAGGAAGGAATTAAAAGAGACCCTTGAGGAACTGGGAGTTAGCAGAAAGTTGCGTAACATGATACATCTTACTTTAGAGAATACAGAAAACAGAGTCAAAGTTAACAATCATGCATCGGACAAATTTATAGTAAAAGAAGGATTAAGGCAGGGCGATCCTTTGTCATCATTACTCTTCAATTTATGCCTAGAAAAAATAATGCGAGAAGCGAGAATTAATAGAGAAGGACTCCTATATCATAAAAGACACCAAGTTTTGGCATTTGCGGATGATATAGTGTTGCTGGCAAGAGGAAAAAAAGAGCTACAGGAGATAGTACAGAGAATAGTAAAAGCAGCAAAGAAAATGGGACTTTACATAAATGAAACTAAAACAAAATGTATGCAGTGGACAGATGATCAGTTTAGGGATGGACAAAAGTTTAAAGTAGAAGTAGAAGAAAGATTATCATACGAATTCGAAATGGTGGAAAGATTTACATACCTAGGTACAATAATATCACGTAAACCTAACATTAAAGAAGAAATACAAGCTAGAATAATGGCAGGCAATAGAAGTGTACATGCTCTTAGTGGAATGTTGAAAAGCAAGTTTTTATCAAGAAAGGCAAAAATACAGTTATACAAAACAACTATACAACCAATAGCAACATACTGCAGTGAGACGTGGACAATGACAAAAATGAACAAAATCTACTGGAGATATGGGAAAGGAAAATCTTGAGGAAGATATATGGAGGAATAATAAGGGACGGTTTATGGATAAGAAGATCAAATGATGAATTAAAGAAATTATATAATCAACCTAACATAATAGGAGTCATAAAGGCACAGAGACTAAGATGGCGAGGTCACCTAGAAAGGATGCCAAACACGAGGACTCCAAAAAGGGTACTAAACTACAATATAACTTCAAAAAAGAGAAAAGGAAGGCCAAAAAATAGATGGAATCAGGAGGTAGAAAAAGATATGGAAGAAATTGGACTAGACGGCCAGAAAAGAAAAATGAATAACAAGAAGGAATGGAGAAAAGTCACATATCGAGCCAGAGAAGATCTCAGTACATAAAGGAAAGCGAAAATGAAGAAAGAACAAAATTCTTTAAGCCATGGGCCTCTAAGGCCTTTAGTGCTATTGTATATATACTTATATCCGTACTATGAACAAAAATACTTTTAATGCGGTTTTTAGGGAGTCTAATGTTCCGTTTCTTTGAATTTTTTTTGAATTTTTTAACTTTTAAAGAGAAATGTTGTATTTTTTATCAATGGATCCCCCTTTAATAGTCGTAGCGTTCAACTGGTAGGTTAAAAGCGCTCAGCTAGGAATTGAATATTGTACACACTTCAAAAATACTTTTTTTCTATTCATTTGTCATCAGAGTGTACAAAAACATTTTTATTTTCTTTGTCATTTTTTACATATATTTTTTTTACACCTTGTATTCTGTATTTCCTTCTTTGTAGATCTTTAAGTATTTGCCAATTTTTGAATGATGCCCTGATACCCTTAGCAATCACTATCACTGGGATATTGAGTCTATTTTCGTAGGAATGCTATCTAATTCCTGTCTTTTTAAATATTTTTGTTACCAGTTTATACTT